ACTTTATCTCGCCGAACATTAAAATCCCTAAATAATCCTGAATTTGCAGACAGATGACGTACAACTAATACATCTACTGCGATACTCAAAGAAAACGTGAGAAAAGAAAGAATAAGAAATTTTATGAACGAGAAACACAGCTTGCTCAAGATCGTAAAAAAAAACACAAAAAAAAGGCAGTAGAAACTACTGAAGAGCGGGAAACGCATCTGACCAGTGATCGAAACTAAAAACATTACAAAGGATATTCAGAAAATAATAGTCGTGAGAAAGTGTATGAAACTAATGAACTGAATATCAATAATGAACAACTAAACCAAAATACAGATCAACAGGATAAGCTTAGTGAAGCAGAAAGTAGCATAACAACACGTATCGAGCTACTCTCTGCTACTGTTCTTTGTGATATCGATCGAGATATTCTATGAAATTTTCAGAATAAAATGGATAAACTCAAACATACACTTTGCCCTATATGCAATGAGAAATTTCTATCCATAGTGCTCGTTATGGGAGAATGTCGTCGATGTTACAGTAAGAAAACCTTACTGAAAAAGTTTTCAGTTGATAACAACATAGATCCGGGAGAGGTACCTGAAGAATTACAAAACCTTACCGATATAGAAGAAATGCTTATCGCACAAGTCTTTCCCGTAATGTCAGTCTATAAACTTCGTAGGGGGCAATATAGGTACCGTGGCAATGTAATAAATTTCCCCTAGAATGTGCAAGAGTTCACTACTCGTCTTCCTAGACACCTATCGTCATTAGATGTATTAGTTGTACGTCATCTGTCTGCAAATTCAGGATTATTTAGGGATTTTAATGTTCGGCGAGATAAAGTAGCTTCAGCATTGTATTGGTTAAAAGCAAATAATATTTACTATGCTGACATTACTATTGATAACGAGATCCTTCAATCATTACCTACTGATGGCACAATCGAGGATCAAATTCCAGATAATGAAATAATTGCAGAAGAGTCAAATAATGAAAATGAAGATGAGATAGATGATATGATTTCACGTACCTTCGTTCTGTTCCTTCCATCAACTAGTCGTGAAGAAATTGCTATTAATGAAACTCTTAATCGTATTCAAAATGAGAATCACCCTATAGCCTGGCCACATATTAACGATAATCCTATTAATGAATTCAGAACTCTAGGATATATTGTGCGCACATTCCTAATGCTCTACTCAACAGGATATGCTGATCTTCAATCAGAATGGATTAGAGACATCAACTCAGCAGAATATTTCAAGCATCTACTACAATACAAAGATGGACAATTTGCACATCATAATCGTTAGTGGTACTTTGCGTTAAATTCTTTAATAAGATGGCGAGCACTACAAGAAGACAAGATATATATTAAACAAAAGTTAGGTGATGAACAACTTACTGTTCAAGAAATCCAGGAGATGATTGCTCAAGGCGATAAACATATTGCTGATCGTATTATGCGATATGGCGAAGGTTTACATAGATCACAGCAGTTTTGGATGGCACAGCATTGTGAATTGTCTGATATGATTAAGCAAATAGGTTCACGTAGGCTTATGTTTTTTACATTTAGTGCTGCTGATTTGCACTGGCCAGAACTTCATGACCTCATGCCATCTAACAAAAACTCTACAGAAGATACTGAAATGACCAGGTATTATCATCAGAATGTAATAAATAACTCTCACATCATTGCCTGGTTCTTTAATAAACACTTTGAAACTTTCTTAAATAATGTGTTAAAACATAAATGGAATTTAGAAGACTACTGGTATCAATTTGAATGGCAGCATCGCAGTAGTGTACATGTGCATGGGATCGGAAAAATACAGAATACACCTGAAATTAAATGGATGCGAATAAAGGAAGATGAAAATGTGATGGGAGAAGCAGTGATGTACATAGATTTTTTAGTTACTACGATTAATCTAAGCCTCAATACACCTATTCCAGATTGCCACCTGTGTAAAAAGCAACTCGGAGAGCTTAGAGATGACTTGCAAGATTATACTGAGTTAGTTAATAAACTACAGTGACACATACGATGTAGCCCCTCATATTGTCTTTGTGTAAACAAAGCAGGTCAACAATTGTACAGGTTTAGTTACCCTAAAGAAAATAGTGATTATACTATTGTGCATGATGATAGAAATAGCCAACCTGAGCTCGTAACGGCAAGAAATGATCAATATATTAACATGCACAACTGACTTCAGTTACAGAGTTGGCAAGCAAATGTAGACTTAAAGCCAATTCTTAGTCTTCATGCCGCTTTGCAATATATCTCTAAGTATGCAAGTAAAGTAGAACCACAATCAGCAACATTTTCTGAAATATTAAATCAGATCCTTCGAAATAGCAACCCTGATAATCAAGTAATATCATCAGTTCAGAGATTATTACTTCGTAGTGTTGCTGAACGTGACATTTTTGCTCAGAAGACCTGCCATCTACTCTTAGGGATTCCTCTTTACCACTCAAGTCGCTCCTTTGTTTCTTTAAACCTAAATAAAGAAGCACCATGATGGCTTCGTAGCACTAGTAGCAGTAAAAATAAGGCGAATGTTCGAATTAAAGATGCTAGAAGAACAGTAAAATCGTCTCTAAAAATTTACTGGGAACGGCCTACAGAATTTGAGAATTTCTCATTATTCCAGCTTAATTTAACACATAAATTTACTCAAAATCAGTGGAATAAATGTAAACAAGAAAATATTGTACGCATCTTTTCACGTCCGTCACCCTCATATAATGGTCCACAATAGGTGGAATTTTGTCGAGTAAAAGTTCTTCTCCATATTCGGCATAAAAATATTGAGCAACTAACTGAAAACGGCACTGTTGAGTGGTCAACCTTATTTACCCGTTATTATGAAGAAATTAACGTGAATAGAAATGACATACTTGGACCACCAGTAGATAATGAAGATGAAACTACTGATGACGAAAATCAGATGGAGGAAATTGAAGACGATGAACAGGAAGAATGCCAAAATGATTGGATGTTGCTAGCAGAGATGGGTCCAAATGCAGTTATAGATAGTTCTTGTGATCTGGGGACCCGTGATATAGATCGGAATCATAGATGGGTTGATGATGCTAGACAATGCTATTCCGATACTGATCTTGCAAATATTGATAATTTCATAAGCCAAGCCTCTAGTAATAATCAAATAAATGATGAGAATTTAAATTCTGTTATTGTGGATTATTAAACCTTAAATGAAAAACAAATGGCAGTACTTAAACGGATAGAATCACATTTCTACAGCGTTCTAGCAGGTTGTCAAGTTGAGCTACTAAGAGTAATTATAATGGGAACTGCAGGGACAGGAAAATCATATTTGATAAAAGCAATTTGAGGCTTACTTATGCAGATAGCAGGAACTGAGTCTATGTCACCAGTACTCGTACTTGCACTGACAGGTGTTGCAGCCTTCAATATTAATAGTAGAACGATTCACTCTGCACTCTCAATTACAATAAATTCTACTAATAATTTCGATATAGACGGTGAGTGATTAAAACAATTACAGGAAAGGTTACAAAGTGTGAAATACTTAATTATAGATGAGAAAAGTATAGTTGGGTATCGATTGCTTGCTTTAATTGATATGTGGCTACGTCAAGCCTTTCCTGAGCAAAGGAATGAACTCTTTGGTGGTAGATCAGTTATTAAAGTTGGTGATTTTGGTCAGCTTGCATCTGTACTTGATCTTCCAATGTATATTGATGTTAAGCGAGATGTATTGTCTAATAATAGACATTTAGTATACAAACAATTTCTAGAGGCATATAAGCTTGATATCGTTCAACGGCAATCTGGTGATTCTGAGGAACAACAGGCTTTTAGAGACATTCTTTTACGGATACGTGATAGAGAGTTGATATTAGATGACTGGAAGATACTTAATACACGATTTGAAGAAAAATTAACAAAAGCTGACCGTGATCAGTTTTCAGATGTTATATTCATCCTGCCAAGATGGTCTGATGTAAATGCTGTAAATATAGATATGCTTAGATCATTAAATGTCCCTGTTGCCAAAATTAATGCTAAACATACTGGTGATATTGAAGCGAAAAGAGCAAACTCAGATACAGTACACAGTCTTGAAGCGCAACTGTTACTAGCAAGAGATGCACAAGTTATGTTGACTGCAAATATATAGACAGAAGCTGGTTTAGTCAATAGCTCAATAGGAACCATACATGATATATTATTTGAAGAACCGGGCCCTCCATGCATTCCTACAGCAGTTTTTATAGGTTTTGACGATTACAAAGGCCCCACAGTCACTAATGTAGAAGGCATAAAAGTTGTTCTGATTATTCCAATTCGACATACCTGGGAAAGTAAGTCTAGAACAACATGTTCTTGTTTACAGCTTTCTGTCTGTCTGGCGTGGGCAATTACAGTACATAAAAGCCAGGGGCTTACCTTGCCAAAGACTTTTATAGACCTTAGTGATAAAGAATTTGTAGCTGGTCTTTCGTTCGTCGCAACTTCTCGGGTCTGTACTCTTAAGGATCTCATTTTTAAGCCATTCAGTTTTGAAAGGCTACAGAGAATTAAAGAGTGTAAAAGGCTGCAAAAAAGGAAAAAAGAGCAGGAATGGTTAGTTTCCATGATACCTTAAATTGAGAGTAATATTTTGTTAAAATGAGTGAATCAAAGAAATAACAAATAAAAGCTTAAATATCAGATTGAATAGTATGAATTAGTTTTATTTAATAAATTAACTTAATTAACTTGTAATTTTATAAGCTACAAAAATATTCTACCAAAATGAACTCCTGGCTACAGAATTCTCTTGATTTGTTTTGATTTGTTTTAATGTTAAATACTATTTATGTTGCTATAATATGTACAGTAGACTAATTCTGTTTATAAATGCATTAGAATGTTTTTGTTACATCAAAGTACAAATATAAACACACGTGTGAACAGACAGAATTTTCAAAATTACATTTTTGATATATAAACATGATATTAGCAAATAGTAAATCAGAACTGTAACTTTCAATACATCAAAAATGGAACTTTAGTACTACCTTACCTAAACATTAAGTGTCCTTCGCTATGCTTCAGACAATTATATTCTTTTTTTTTATATATTCTAGTATATATTTGTTTCAGAATCTCTTAATATTGCTCATACTACTCAGCTTATATTTAATGCTATCTAATATTATTTAAGCTATTCTTAATGCTACTTAATATATGCTATATATAAATATCATCTAAATATATCTGATATTCTAACTATTAATATTTGAATATCCAAAAATTATTTAGATATTCAGATAATTGATCTGATGAATCTAACTTCTAAAACTAATAAATCAATATTAAAAACCTTATACAGTATTCTAATACTCTAAAATCTATTATTTTAGAATTATTAGGTTTATGATATTGTTTAAGTTTAATATAAGTAATAATAACATATATATAGTATATAATTTATTATTGATTATAAATTGATTAAAATATAAGTCTAGTGATCTTAGTATAGTAGTTAGGTTGCCAAATTGCTATGCAAGAGGTCTGAAATTCAAATCCTACTGTTGATGAATTTGAATAATTACTCAAATCTTTATACTCAACTTATAGTAAACTCTATTTGTTTCTGGTATTATAACTATATAAATTATATTGCACTAATATCATTTGAATATTGGAAGTATAACAAGGTATTTGGAGAGACATAACATTACACAAATAAATCTTGATAGGATCTATAAGCAGAAGATCTGTATAGTAGAAATTCTGAGTTGGTAAAGTAGTATAGCTTTTAATAGTTATACTAGCTAACGCTTAATTTAGAAAAGAAACTATTGCTCTAAAAATATAGATCGAGTAAGATACAAGTAAGTCTATTCTATAAGAAGAATTAGCAACACCAACTTGACTTGACAGCTAACTAAATTGAGAAGATCTATCTCATGAAACATCTGAAGAGATCAATAAACAGAAAACTAGTAGAGAGCTATGATAGGAACTAGGTTTATACAAATATCTACAAGAGTTTAAGCTAGATGAATTTGTGAAATAAGTACAGACTGCTCTAGTAGGTATGCTTTGAGATTAACTGAAGCTCTGCAAGCTTATAATATATTGAGCAATAAGCATCCTAAGGAGATCTAAACTGAAATCAGTAAATAGATCTATAATAAGCTAGTTAGCTTAAATAGTTAGATATTATAGTAATATTAGTTTATAACAGTATAAGTTAGTTAAACAAAGTATTTAAATAAGTAACTCACAGGTAGGTTACAGGTATAGCAGTATAGTGTAGAACTAATCAGATAGTCTATTACCTGTGCAGTAGACTATTTAAATTAGATAATAACTAAAGTTATACATATAGCTTATTATATACTCTTCATATAATTACAAACTATAGGGAGACCTTATATGAAACCTCATATATCAAACTAATAAAATCTACTCAGCAATGTAAGCTATCTTAAAAATTAAAAAAAAAATAAAAAAATAAATTAATTAAAGTTTTTAGAATTGACTCTTATTTCTAGTTTGATACAGTATTTTTTGGTTGCAGCTTATGTTTTCACTAGATATTACATAATAACTTCAGATATAACTTATATCATTATATAGCTAATATTCTTGGCTACAAAATTACTTAAGGGTATTTTTTACTATAAATGCTTCTTAAGAGACTTTATTTAAAAGTAAATGTTTACAATAATTTTTTTTACTTTAAAATATTTATATTAAAATAATATAATATAAAAAATAACTAAATATTATAAAATATAATAATAAAATAATTAAAAATCTATCTTAATAGTATAGTATAGAACTAATTAAATAATTATATACCTATATAGTAGACTACTTAAATTAGATAATAACTAAAGTTATATATATAATTTATTATATACTTATTATATAATTATAAAATAAAAAAGTTATTCTTATAATATTTTATTAACTAAGATTAATAAAATTTAATAATAAAAAAAACTATTTAAAAAAAAATAAAATAATAAAAATATATTAGATTTTTTTTTAAATAAATTGTTTTAAAACTTTAAATAAAAGATAATTACTATTTGTATATAAGGTATTTGTATACTAGATAATACAAAGTATTAGAAAAATTAATTAAAATTTAAGATTAGATGTAATATATAAATTTTTTTTGTATAACAAATAATTCTTTAAAAAATTAAAAAATACTAATATCTCAAAATTTCATCTAAGAAACCACCTTCAAGACTCTAATAAAAAAATTTTTTACAAATTTTACATATACTAATATTTAAATAAAATTTCAAACCTCATCTTAATTTTAAAGTAAATAAATTTTCTTTTTTTTTTTCTTACAAAAAATTGTTTTTTTATAAAAAAAATTAAATTTGTATTTCAAATATCTTGTATACAATTATAAATATTCTAAACAAAAATAATAGTAAAATTTAATTAAATTTAATAAAATTTAATAAAATTTTTGATAATAATATATATATATTATTGCTAAATTTTTTTAAATTAATTTTAAAATTTTATAGAATTTATTTAAAAAATTTAATATATTTTTATTAAATAATATAAATATTGTTAAATATCACAAATTGTAATATTAGATAAAGACAAGACTTCAC